GCATGAGTAATACATCGATGAATGACATATTCCGACGTGAAATGTGGTCTTCCAGCAGATGTGCCCGAACAGACGGCGGCCATCAAGCACGCCGAAAGGTCTCGTTGTCGTAGCCGTCTTTTCATGAAGTTTTCTCACGCAAAAGCATAGCAAAGCTGAAAGAGTGGGACTTGATAGTGGCGCTCCTTCAACAGATTCAAGGCAGAGTTTATGGTAAACAGTTAGCTGGAAAAAAAGGGTAGAAGTGGTCAGTGGAGCAGGGATGAAGAAGAAACCATTTGAAACGGCCCGAAACCCGAGAAATGGGACCCCTTCCTTGCCCGTTGATTTGCGCATTGATGCGACTCTCATCGCTGTCCCTGCTATCTAATCACTCGCCACGTATAGATCTGCGGCGAGTGATTAGATGGTCGGTGGGCGTACCCCCCAACGCGCCAAGAGTGAGCCATGCTAGGTCGCCAAAATCAACTCTTTCATGTTCACCTCACGAGTCCACCTGTTTCCAACGATTGGCGATTTTCCTTCTCTTGACTTTGATATTCATCGTTAATTTCTCTTTTAAGAGATTCGGTAGACCACAAGACTTTTGGAAACCCTGCCCACAGTGAGCGGAACGCAACTGACTGGACCGCTTCGGATATTATTTCACTAACTTCAACGTTCGTGTTGTTCCTAAATTACCCTATCAGGATGCCATTCTGTGTGAGTCGTGCTCGGACTTAGACTTGGATGTGAAGAAAAAAATAGTAACAGAAATTAGCCAACTGTTATTCAGTTAATGAAAATTGTTAGGTAATGTTCACCAATTTAGGTTAGTAGCCTTTTTTCCGTTTTACACTTGTTATAAAGGAGAAGCGAGTGGGATGACCGGAGGTGGAAGTCCTGAGAATGTCTACCTGACGGAAGGAAGTCGAGTGCAGAGGACCTTACGGGTTCTACTCTGACGTGAGCTTGTTTTATTGCCGTTTGGAATCTTGATATGTCAACTATCTCTCTTTCGCTACTAGGAAAGGCATTCAAGTTCCCATGGAACTTTGAGTTGAGACCCAGATATATCGATAGAGCTTCAAACGCTGATTACAGTACGGAAACTAAAACTGCAAAATGAATCTGCCAAGGAAGTTGTGAACAGTCATTTTGGCTTAAAGAAAAGCATTGCATATGAACCGTGCTGGACCAGGCTTTCAAAATCGTCGCTCTTGGCCGGGGAGTCATACGTGCTCTCAAATTAGAGCGCAAATCCGAGAGCACTACCACTATTCAGGCGACTCAAGAATCCCGGAGCTTAGAGGACAAGTACGTAGCGCTTTCCTTCTTGGACTGCTCGACTAATCAATTTTGAAAAGCATCATAAGGGCGGAAGTGGTGTAGTGACAAGTGGCGCGCTCACCACGCGAGCGGTCCGGGATCAAATCCTGGGTCGTGAGTCGCCCGGGCCAACCAAGCCTTCCATCCCTCCGGGGTCGGTTAATTGGTACCAGACTTGTCTGGGAGGATAAAAACACTGACTTACATCGGCTGGCCCCCGCAAGTCATTGTATAGGCCACATCGCATTCAAACCATACGAGGACAAAATGAGTAGAATAAGTGCCGATCCATAAAAAGATACAAATAAAAAAGAACAAGGATGAATCAAGGCAATGTTTATCTTTTTTATCCTTTTATCGATAATGATTTCCATTCGTCATTGTTAGTACAGGGTCGGCTATATAAAGCAATAGTAAATGTGAAGTAGTTATACGCGCAGAAAAAACTCAAAATTATTCCCAAAAGAAAAAAAAAAAAAAAAAAAATATGGCAAAAACTTTGTAACGAAAAATTAATACTACTGATGCTTTCAAATTGCAATGAACACTTTGGAAGTTCACACAGTTTTTTGTACACTGAAATTGCCATGAAACTTCGGCACAGAGCAGTTTCAAAGGTTTCAGATCAACTAACAGTATAAGAAGTGAAATTACAGAATTCACCTGATTCTACTGGGTGGGCGCAGTTAGTAATTGTAGCACGCTGACAGAGAGTCTTTGATTTCTCATTTTTTCTTTGAAATTCAAAATTTCGAAAACTGTTCTCAGTTCTTTCCCCTTGAATTGCCTTACATCATGATGGCCCTCTCATCACCTTTGAGCGATCTTGTCGACTCTTTCGAGTCTTCTACAAAAATTGGCAGGGAGGCGGCGACGTCCGGGCCGCCGCCATGAGGAGGCGGCTCCGAAAACTCCTTAGAAAAATTAGAACAGTGGAACAGAGCCAGATAGGCTCGACAACGATGCCAGTGAAACGTGACCGGGAGACTGGGCCCGGCTCCCAGAGACACGAGAGCATAGGGTGCCCCACGCCCCTTGCTCGCCGCCGTTCCCTGGAGGCTGAAGAGCTCGTGGCATCGGCAGGCTGGATGGTGGGCAAACGACGGCGCGCCGTAGTGGAACGGCGTTTTCAGTGAGAAATTCTCGTTGCAGGAGAGAGGCAGAAAATGCAGCAATTGCACTTTCGACGTGAGAGCGTCGGTGGCGATAGGCTATTGAACGCCACTGAGTGTTCCACGCCGAATCGTTCGCCGCCACAGGTAGGACTAACTACTCAAAAGAGTTTTGCTGAACTCCTGACCTTGGAACGACTCATTTCAAAAAATAATGGTTTTTCCTGACAGATCAGGATATTGCTCTTATACTGAATGAACTTTCACTATGCCTTCACTTTTAATCAATAAATTAGTGTTTATTCACGACTTGCTAAGTAGGTGCTGGGCATAGAATACCAAGTTCAGGATGCCTGGCCTGCGATGAGCTCTACCCAGAGAACGTGAGTGTGAGTTATACTTACTACTGGAGCAGAACGTTTAGTCCATAACGCAGCTACCAATTTATATAATAGCATGATAAAGCGATTCATTGGTATTGATTTGTGCTCGATAGTTTGAAGCCGTTCTCTTAGCGTCGAGGATCAAAGAAACGAAATGTAAGGCCTACAATGGCATCATCGAGTAGCTGCTGTTTGGCAGACAGGATACTACTGTTCGACTTGGTTCAGTGCTTACGAGGATTTTAATGGAAGCAGAACGCGTGGCGCATCTCAGAAACCTAGCGGACGTCTTTGCCCTTGTTCTATTCATACCAATCAAAGCAGTACAGTAAGCTTTATGCAGATTTCTCGGCTCAATTTTCTCAATTTTCGTGATTCTGGTTGAACTCCTATGTAGTTCTTTTCTGCCCCTAGTTCATTCTATTGGCGCACTCAGATGAGTGCTTAAATAATTAAATATAATAGATAAATAAAATTTCTACAGCTTGGTTGACCTGCGTTTGAAAACGCATCAGCGTATTGTCTGAGTCCCGGATGTGGAAAGGGCATGATAGCGAGGCAAACAAGCTCCGAGGTACTTTACTTGATTTATTCGATTTATCTGGAGCTTGACCGATTACCCTCCGGTCAATGCCATTCCTGAGCCCGCGATGAGATAAACAGTAACAGTAATAGCAAGAATAAACAGTAATTTTTCAGTGTTTTGGAGCGGGAGAGGGGGAGGGTGGGCTTAACACATTGAACGACATCGCGCCGTTCTGTGCTTTTGCAGCCTCGTGGGACAAGAGCGAGTTTGCGAGCCCAACCGCCGTACACCGCCGCCCGCTACACGCCAAATCCATGATGTCTTCCAGGTTGATTGAATCTGCAATACTCAGAATGCGATGAATTCTTTTCAATGTGTTCAGTCGTCTACGCTATCAAGCAACTACAGTAATGAATAGTTTGACCGGCGAGGATGAGCGTTGAAGGCCATGAAAAGGAAATTTTGCGTGTTAATTTCCCTTTAGTGGTCCAAAATTAATTTAGACGTGGTTGTTTCAGTAAAAACACATATCTTCCCATATGAATAGGTTTGTATTCACTTCTGTTATTCCTTTTTATCAACATGTCTACGTTATTGAAAAGAAAAACGAGGAATGAATTCGAACAGACATATCCATAAGGTCTGGAAAATGTCTGCCAAACTAAAGAATATTTGACCTTTCTGTGCGTGAGCCATGTGGTTTTGAGTACGCTAATGACGTACGTGGAATAGTACAGAGAGGGACCAGTATCAGGAATAAAGTCTCGCAAAAGCGCAAGAAAAAGGGAGGACTTGGGTGGGACGCGTTACCGCGTCGCGTTGTCGCCAACGTGTTAATTATATAATTTCAAACGCTTCCACACTCATCCCACATCTGAGAAAGGGCTACTGAATAACAATCGTCTATGCTATGAATGAGGGTACGGCACAGAAGAGTGCGTGCCTAGATAAGACCCCGACAACGAGCGTACTATTTATGGTAGAGATAAAAGAGACACAGGCAAGAACTCAACCGTCAATGTAGGCGGTGAAATGGTACGATGAAGGTATGGCTCCATTCTCTGGTACGATGAAATGGCAGCCCTCATCATCATCAGAATTATCTTCAGAATCAGGGTAGAGGTGGTCAGTGGAGCCGGGATGAAGAAGAAACCATGAGAAGCAACTAGAATCTGATTGAGAGCCCTCCCTTGCCCGTTTCCACACTGATGCGGCTCTCATCGATGCTGGTCTCTTCAGCTAACAGCTCTCCCTGCTGAGCAGCTAGAGCGTCAGACAACGATAGGGAGGCGTACGGCGCCGAAAGCGCGCCGATAGTGCCTCGCGGAAGGCCATGCTCGATCACAGGGGCATATCCTTTGCTGCGGACTGCGTGTCGGTCGCACTCTTGGGGGGGGGGGCACCTGTGTTCCTACAAAATAAGTTCGTTTCCTCAACCTCCGATCTTATGTAATCGTCCTTTGATAGGCTGTTCAATGGCCATACGCAACTGAGAAACTTCGTACTGCTTCTACGCACGGAGTAACGACCGTGATGAGACATGAGTGATGGTAAATTTTCCCCGCTAGCTTTGAGCATTAGTAATTTTGAGTCTGAAATCTCAACTCACGAACACATACATAAGTGTGATGAGTTGAGAGTAACGATTGGGTCTCTAGGTAATCCTAAAAGCTAAATCTGTAAATAGCTACGTTTTTTCTTTGCTGGGTAGATTTCGGACACTGCACAAACAAAAAAGGATAAATCAAGGGTCAGTTAAGCTTACCTGTTGAAAACTGAGCGGAACTGGTTCCTTATCACTTCCAGCACGTTGTCGTGCCACTTTCTCGGTATGCACTTCCTGCAAGCAAGTTTCTTGTGGTCTTGATTCATTTGTTTACCTTGAGAATGTTTATTTTATCATCACAGAAAGTCTGAAAATTAGAAGGGCTTTACATAAGGATGGTGTTGCCAAGTTAGCCAATTTTTGGTCTCTAAAGCTGCCTCTACCTTCCAAGATTCATAGCTTTTCTCTAAAGGATTGATTGGATTGATTGATTATTGTAAGCATGTGGCATCAAGGTATCGGGAAAGTTTTCAAACCTCCTCAGTCTCGCTGGAGCTACTGTCACTGAAACTGGTGTCGTCACTGAGCGAAGAATCACTGTCCGAATTCTCTTCGAGATGTTCAGCAAATGTATGGGGTTGGAGCATCAGCTCCTCCTTCGTCTTGTATTCCATCATGAAGATCATGGCCGGCATAAGTAAGGAGCCGAGGACCTGAAAAAAGCACTATGAAGCATTGAAAACAAAAACAATTGAAATAGTCAGGTAAGAAGCTCAAAGCCAAATAATAATCAAATATTTATCCCCTGAGTTGCATTCTGTTCCCTTACTCCTTCTTCAAGGTATCCGTTGGACAAGGGTCAATCATAGGGTGAGACGGGTTTTGATGACAGGCCCTCCGCCTCCCACACAAGTCCCCGAAATCCAAGTGCTGCACGAAGGCAGGCAGTAAGGGGAGGGTGAGGCTATTAAAAACGATTGAAATGACAAAATTCTCAGAATCTTCGAGACAACTCTGTCACAAAAACCTTCCCAAACTCTTAACAACTTTCCTCCTCTCTTTCAGAAAAACGGCTCATTCCATCAAAACCACGCTACATCCTGAACTCTACATGCTGTAAAGAGTGAACATCGTAAATAAAGGGATTTCAATAGGAACCTTGAGGTTGGCATTGTTTCTCATGTGAAGTCCACCTTGCCAGAGATCCGAGAGAAGAAGTTGACAGCTGAAAATAGACAGCATTTTCTAAACTGACTAGTCCTTAAAAACATGCAATTTCAGACGCGCACAATCCTTCCATTCCACCGAAAACTCGAATTGTGAGGCGAGTGGAGTCAGCTTCAGCAGCCTATCACGCTGTTTATGTATATGTAGGCGTAACTCCTCCGCCCAACAACGGCTTCATATTTATAGCAAAGTGAAGACTAAACCAACGAATGGCTTACAGATCGAATAAATCCCAGCAGATAAGGGAATGACCTGGACTGTGGATGTTGTAAGCGGCAAATGTTGGCACACGCGACGAGCACAGTTCTAGGGAACGCCATGCGAACCCGTCAAATTACTTTAATATGTCGACCTAGCTCCCCATACATTGGAGGGTTGCTCTGCGGTGAATACCAGAGTCGTGAATGGCTGTTGTACCCACACAAGCTGCCTTACAAGCCACTGTGTAGAAAATCGCAATTCACTACAAAAAAAAAACACGACTCATGAAAGTAAGATTGCGCAGCTCGGCTTCGCGTAAAGGGATTGTTCAGCGCCGTATGCTTCTACATTTTGGTGTATATTACCAATTGGCGGAATTTCGCGTGTCCTGCGCGTGGGAACCGCGCGCATTTTTCACGCTATGGCTCAACGCTGGAACGCGGGCGTGTCCCAAGTGAAGTTTTTGACCTAGGACATACCTCAAGGGCCGCGAAAGTTATATCATACGATCAGAAGGCCGGAAGTTATCATAGCACTCAAACTCAACTAAGGCGAGTAATCGATGGTGCTAAACTTGAACATGGCATCTGTTTCTGGCGCTGCCCACATCGAGCCCGCAATGTCGCCAATGGGGTGAAAAGGTCGTGGCTATGGAAGTGATGGCGGATTACGTGTGTTGGGATGGTCCTACTGCACTGCTAGTTTGCGCCTTTGGGGCTTCATCTTTGTTTAGCCTCTGTTTATGCATTAATAGCACGTTACTAACTTAACTTTTCATGTATATGCCAGCGTGGCGCGGCCCAGAATCGAGTCGGAGACAAATTCAGGGTCAACAGCATAAGTGCAAATCAATAACATTCTGTATCTGCGCAGTCTTCCATTTCATATTGCATAGCTACCCCGCTTGCTCTGAATTGGTGTGTACAGGGGCAACAAATTACGTTCGTACAGGATAACAGGGTTAGGGGAAGAAGTCAATTCGGCCGAGCAAAGGACACAGCGTGAGACCCCAGTTAATTGCATAGGAGGGTCACACACCAGACAGAATACAACATCAGCTTCGATTGACTGGCCCGCACGACCTGTTTTGTTTGCGTTTATACCTGAATGAAGTCATCTCGGGAACGCATATGGCCTGTTGTGTAGGTAGGTGACATCGAGCTTACCCTAGGATCTTCTTTAATTCGTCGATGCTTTAGTGATACTCGTAGTAGCCCATCGTCTTCAGTAGACTCCACGGAAAATAACCCACTTGCTTTAACACGGGAAAATAAGGTGGCCCCTCGTTCAATGGCATGAATTCGGAAAATTCTGCAAAACCAATGTTGCCCCACTATATTGCTTTGTGCACCCCGCCGTTACACCCTTGAACAAAAAAAAAAAAAACAAAAACAAAAAAAAGAAAAAAAAAAACTATGTAGAATTTCCTCTCCGGAAGTAAAAAAAAAAAAAAAAAAAAAAAAAAAAAAAAAAAAAAAAAAAAAAAAAAAAAAAAAAAAAAAAAAAAAAAAAAAAAAAAAAAAAAAAAAAAAAAAAAAAAAAAAAAAAAAAAAAAAAAAAAAAAAAAAAAAAAAAAAAAAGGGGAAAATAAAAGATGTATGGTGTGGTGTTTAGTCTCTCTTGTTACCGTCAATTGGTGCCCACCCTGTAGATTTGAAGTTCACGTGAAAACTGTGAACTCTTAGCAAAAATTTCTCCACCTACTCGGCTTGATAAGTAAGCGAGAAATGAATCATCGTACAATCAAGTTTAGCAACACTTTTTTTCATGCAAGGCGTTTCGCCGCGGCCACCCGTTATTCAGCAGGTCCACAAAAAGGGTTTCGAGCCTGCCAAGCTGTGCAAGATGGATCCACCACTCTATAAGGGAACTATCCTAAGATGGTAATGATTTTCACTTGCTAACGTATGATCCACAGCTGAACACATAGCTCAAAAAGAGCACGCTCATACAGTGCATGTCCGGTTGTTCTGTCACGTGCTTACCCTTAGTGTCCGGCAAACATGGGAACTCTACACCAGCACAGAGCTTCACAACACAATGGTGACGAGGTCTAGAAACGGAAAACTATGATTAATGATGAAGCTGATTTAATTGATAAGTTTAACTAGTGCACGGCTGGTAGAAAATAACTTGCAACCTGGCTTATCAATTTGATGACAGTAAGCGTATTTGCTGTTGAATGTAGGTCGTTTTGGTGTTGCGGAGATTGCCGAGTTGTCACGCTATCTGATCGTTGATCTGCGAATGGTTACATTTCAGAGATCCATCGCCCTCAACACTACTTCAGCAGGTGCAAGACCTTGAAACTAACCTGGGATACTCCGTGAAACCCTTAGATAGGGTTCTATGTTATATTATCCTCTTGGAACATTTTAGCAGCAGCTATCAGGAAGTAGTTTTTTTTTCACTACAAAATAATTAGTGTCCAACTCACCATGGATGAGCCAAAAATTGTCGATTGTTGTTCAGAGCAGCTAATGAAAGGCAGGTCTCGTTTCCCCAATTAGTCAACTCGTAGGTGAGAAAGTTGCAGAGTGATGTCCTTGTCCTGTTCAGTACAGTACTGTAGAGCTTCGATCGACAACTCGCGAAATTCTCTTAAAAGTCGATTATCGGTGAACAAGAGAAAAGTTAGAAGCGCACAATCACGTACTCGCTGTTCCTCCTCAATTCTTCGCAGATTTCCAGCTCCAAATAATTATGCGAGGCATCATGTGCAAGCGAGTCAAAGAGTCTGCAAGCCACCAGTGCCTGAGAAGAAGGAGGTTTACATTTACTAGACCTAGTATATTACATGATTATTTGAAACGTTCGAGGGAAAAACAACTAATTGAAGGAGTTCCCAGAACTCTTTCTGTGATAATCTAATTTCGTCGCCGTATTTCCCCAATTGAAACGCCGCTAGACCGACCATCCTTGCATCTGAGATCCAGCAAGCGATTTTCCTTCTTCGTCTTTTCGACCGCTATTCGTCCCGGGCACGCCAGAAACGCAGGTCGCACATCTTCCAGGTCGCTCTGCTTCGGGCTCTTCTGCGCCACAACTGGCCGTACAGCTTCACGAGAGGGTCAGCCCACCATGTGGGGAGGCTTTCTCAGAACCTATTTCCTCCTTGGGTGCAGGTGGTGTCAGACCTGGTGGTGTCAGACAAACTTAAACCATGAATATCGATGTCAAGAGGAATCGGTGGGTACTGTCACGACTGCGCTGGGCAAAACGATCAGCCAAAAGCTTGTACTATCTGGGCGCGGTGTTGGTCCATTACACTACCGCAACCTCAAGTGATCTCCCCTGCTTTCGTTGAGAAGGCCAAGCAACAGTGAAGTAAGCTCTCAATGAGAAGCTTAAAAGCTATCACTTCACTTTTTTTATTAATCTATTTTCCTAGGAAGCGCCGATTCACTACTTATAGGGTAGCCATGCCTTCATGCCGGTAGAACTGGCGATGAGCGATGAGCTAACTGAGCAGAAGAACTTGGCTACCAGTCTAACTTTCCGCTTTCAGACGATAAGGTAACCAGTATCTCAAAGATCAAAGTTGGCTGGCTTGTTATATTGCTGAACATTTTTAGAGCTCTTAATCACTACTTCTCGCAGATGTTCTGTTGGTGTTTTAGTTGTTTATCCCTCTCAGGCGCATGCTAGAAGGAGCGGTACGGTAGCAGGAGGGCGTTGCGGTTTCGATGACGTCACAGAACGATCATAGGTGAACAAGAGCCCCCACCAGGGTGAGGTAATGTTAAAACTGCCCTTTCCCTTCGCCTAACGTCCAATGACGTCATCAGAACCGCATCGCCCTTCAGCTATCGTTATCGTCGCCTTGAAAAAATGAAATGAAAGAAAGCGCTGATGCCTACTTCACGGTATTCCTCGATTGACGACCTTTGGAGAACTAACTAGACTCATTTTTGGGCAACCAGCTAAACAGCTTTTAGCGAACAAGCCGCCCTACCTTGGCCATCGCCTCCTCGCCGTGTTTCCACATGAGCATCGCCATGTTGTGACGCTTGGTTAGCACCGCCCAGATGAGCAGTTCAGAATATGGATATTTGAAGGTGAAATCCAACGAATCGTCCTCATTATTTAAGAAATCATCTGAAAACAATATTTATAAATTGAATAGCTCAAAAAGGCTGCTCATCGCAGTTGGTAATATTACCATCGTCATCCTCGTTCTGATGTCGTCCACCGAAAATCGATATTATAGAATTACGGGCCGTATGAAGTAGATCCATTCTTAAGGAATGGTCGGCTTCTTTGTCCTCTTTGAGATTCTCCGAGCGCATTCGTTTAGGATCAGGTTTCTGATAGCCGAGCTGAAAAATGCTACCGTAATGCATACTTCATGGCAGGGCATGGTGATGTCCTATATTTCAAATATGACCTCCTTCCCTTTCAGCTAGGGTTCGCCAGACCTCTGCTCTTATTATTTAAAGTTTTACCCTAAAGGCAGCAACCACAATAGTGGGAAAGCAGGCGTTTTTGATGACATCGTTGAGTGTCATTAGGGAAAAGGGGTTCCAAACACGCGCTGAAGGGTTTAGTCCATCAATGGCGTTCAGTTATGCCGACAAAATCGCATCTATTCAAAAGAAATATGGGAGCCACTTAGCTCTCAGGTTAAAAACAAATTTTCAGCTGCAATCGTAAATTTTTTGGGGTTTTACTCACCTGTCTTCGATTGGAGAACACAAAGTACTTCGCTTTGAAATCTTCCTTAGTGTAGTTCGATTTGTAGGCATGCCCCATGAGATCTTCCATTGCATGACCAACCTGTAAGAAGTCACAGTTCAGTCACAGTCAAAGGTTATTTCACTTTTATCTACTCAGCTCCACAACTTAAAGGCACATTTCGCAATTGCGACATGTAACAGTCACTTCCTGCGAACAGTCGTTCCACAATTTCAGGAGATAGGACCAAATCTGCGACTTGAAATGCATGGAAAGGGCGCAATGTGTTTAGAACTTGCAACCACAATCACCTCAGCAACCACGCAGACTCCTTTGCGGTCTGCTGTCTCGCTCACCGCTATGTTCTCTCGTCTCCATCTCCCATTACCTCGTTTCCGCGCACAGTATTCGATGGATTTCTTGTCTCCCATACACATCCAGACACCGAGCAAAAGCAGAGCTTTATATTTATATTTTTCACGAGGGGATAGGCATCCTGTATTTAGACGTGAACACCTGGTTCTATCTAGTTTTTAGTAGGTTGAAGCGCCTCTGGAGGCGTGAGGGCTCTACCCCTATTCCAGGAGACCTTTATTAAAAACTGCGAAAATGCTGATGAAACATATATCTGGAAGTGGACTCACTTCAGGCAGTCTTATCCGATGGTTTTTCTTCAACGTAATTCCCATCTTTGAGCGAAGGGTGTGTGGAGGTCCTTTGTCCTGAAACAAAATGGTGGTGTTTTACACCCATAATCACTAAATCAACTGCTCAAATGGAATTACTGTATTATAGAGGTGTTCTAGACGACCATAAGTTAAAAATCGATGCATGGAAACGCCATTCTCCAGAAGCAGTTGGACGAAATCCGTTCGATCGTGACATAGCGCTTCCATCATCGCGTTGTGTAGATCTTGAGTGCTCCATTCCTAAAGCGAATTGCAGTGAGAGTAACAGACCAGTAACAGTAATACACAGTAACAAAGCTGGTTTTTGCAACGAACCGTTCCCAGCGTGAAAATTTCCGACCGAGCGATATCAGCCCGGTTCCACGCTAGAGCCAATTGCAATTGCTCGGGTGAGCTGAGGTTCTGTCCTTTCAGCAAAGCGGTCAGAATTGCGTGATCGACCTCTTGACGTTGTTCACCCAGACGGAATACGGTCATCTAAATCGAGTTGAAATACTCAAGCAATTTTAAACTGGTCCGAGAGGGGGCATGCCCAATGAGTGTACCAAAGGAACGTGAAGGCAGTGAGACACTGTGAGTATTGGGAGGCAATGGTCCAAGCCATTGCTCACAAATTTTCACGTTGCGAAATTGCCGCTGTGCAAAGCAGTATTGACTGAATTTACTGATGCTATCCAGGTCTTATTAGGTTGTCGGAAAAGTTCTTGCGCATTTTCTTCTTCATCTTGCAAAATCTTTTGGGATCGTTTTGAAACATTCACTGTCAACGCATGTGAGCGGTGGTTAATGCTCTCTCCACAGCATTTCTGTCGTAGCAGCAGCGTTTGAAGCTTAAAAATCGCCTTTCACTGAAGGTATGTTCGACTGCTCCTGCCTTTATAAGCCCACAAAATGCGTCGATTGAAGCGAAGCAGTAGGAGGCCTACGTGTTGTGATGGACCTCCAGACTATCTTTCACAACATGCCAATTATTTGGTTGCCGAGTTCCAGATACTTGAGAAAAAACCACAAATCTGGTCGGCCTGCCACCCTCATTGACGAGTGTATTCTGAATTCGATTGGAGGGAGTCCTTAGTGCAATGCACGGTAACTGGCGGAGCTTTTTCAGTGCTATCAGAGCACAATGGCCGCTCCTCAATATCGCCTCGAAAAGAAGTGAAATTATGGCGAAAGGATATTTTGTGATCTGACTGACCCCCACTGGCTATTAAGACGACAAAATTTTGCAAGGACATTCTGATTTGGCCGCGCTGTATCGCTTGATCCGCCAACTTTGTTGGTAGTGTCAAGAAGTGGGATCCTCAGATTTTACCGCTCTCGAAAGCACGACTGGCTCGGATGCGTAGAACAAAAGATTGCAACGCCGATTCGAGTACTGCAACTTGGGAGGCAACATTGAAAGCTCATGAGGCTGCAAATGTTTCGCTCACGGAGAGCTGCTGCCAACGAAGTCCACTGCTATTGGTGAACAATAATGTTGGCAAGTTGATCGGTCCGCTAGCATGGCCCATGGAAACTCATGCGGGAAAGTTCACCTTCTCTCGGCAACACTCGTCCACGAATTACGAAGGAAGTCAAGCAAAAGTCTCCAAGCTTCTTATGGGATGACAGGGGGGGGGGGGGGGGGGATTTCATGAGTGTGTTTAGCAACCCGTTAGGGAACCTACCATACCTTGCGTTGCCTGCGAAGGTACTGAAGAGGACAGTCCGCATACCGAACCTACTCAGAGTACAACCTCTTCGAGCTTTCGCAAAAAAGTCAGGAAAGGCCGGCAACCTGAAGCTGCCTGCTGAAGAGCAATGTTTCGACGATTATGGTGGTGTATGTATTCACCAATTGTTGGCTGCACTAAAGAAGAAAAACAATTTTGAAAAAAAGTTGCCAAATGCGCAAAGACTTTTCCGACAACCTATGTGGATTGACTCTAAATATTAGTATCACCCGAAATTTTGAAAACTGTAGCTCTGTGCTACATTTAAGGCTACATCTGGTCAATCGAAGAAAAAATGTCTTGAAAAACAGAAAAATGGAGATTATAGTCACCAGATTTCTCTGGCGAGCGCAAGCAATAAGCTGACGAACAACTCGAGCGGCGTTCTTCTCGTCATAGTTGAACACCATCTCCACCAAAGACATGAGCTGGTTGCGGACCGAGTCGGTTAGTTTTCCTGAAAAAGGGTCAAAATGCTTCGAAAAGCGCTAATATCCCAAATCTACTAAACTAAATTTCCTTGCCATTTATTGCATCGATGGCTCACGCGGGGTCTTTCAGGAAATGCTCAACTTTCTCGAACCGGTTTTTGATATAGGGGTACGTCCCATGGAAACAAGAACTTTAGTTCATTTTCTTGAGCGGCCCTCTGAATACCAAAAAAAAAGGTGGTGAAGAGTGGTCGCGTGGTTCGAATCCTCGCAGTGACAGTTTTTTGCTTCATTTTGTTTGGCGTTTCAAAATTCGCGAAAAATAGCGTCAGCGGAAACAACTTATGTCATATCTATAATTAGGACCATCAGCAACCTTTATACGTAGACTTTGCTAAAAAACTGGTGAAGAAAGTTTAAGAACGGCAGTTCCTTAAAGAATTTTCTCGCTCCTTTTTGGTATTCAGAGGGTCGCTCAGGAAAAAAGACCACAGTTCTGTGTTCCATGCACGTACCTCTATATCATGCAAAAAACCGTTTCGAGAAAGCTGGGCATTTCCTGAAGGCCTTCCTGGTAAGTCCTAGAAGCCTTGCAATAACAATTGCAGCTCGTCTCCGTACACTCACCAAACCCAGCACAATCTCCCACACTCTCACCCTTTCGTCATCATGAGAATCTGCAACACAACCTTAACCCGTCGTCCCAACTACATGATGTGTGAACGCCAAGAGGTCAGCCGCTCGCCCACTTCCATCACAAACGACGACAGGAATGCGAGGAGTACTGTAAAGAAGTAGAAAGCATTGCAGGGTCAACATAAGTGCTGCAGCATTCAATTCAAGCTGATGATTGTTGAATAAGTAAATGCCATCAGCCTTTCGCAACACGAATAAGGGTGCCAGGCTGCAAAAGAAAGGCATTCCGTGACGTTTTCCGTACTTTTTTTTGACAAGCCGTTTACGTTTTCAAAAAAAGTCGGAACGTTTTTCAACCAGTGCGGTAGTTGCAACGCAGCTAAATTATCACAAACCTAAAGCCGGTCCGCCCCTCTGGACGCGCTCACGCCCGCTGCGTAAGATACAGCGTTGTGACGACCGTTCACACATTCACGCTCTATTTTTAAAGGAAGCGATTACGATAGATTTCACAGGGGTTTGGAGTGGACGTGAGGGTCTCAGTAATACACCAATGGCGAAAAAAGCAAAGAAATCCGTCAAAAATAAGCAGAATAACACCCCTTTGATTGCCCTTTCATTTTCGACCATGGATGAGCGACGGTAAAGAACGACGTTGTTCGGACGTGTTAACCCCGATAGCCGCCATCATGCCAACAAGCATAGTGTACTGATTGATAAGGCAATACGTGGGCAAGTTGGAAGATACAGCCGCTAGAAGGAAATGATCATCCAAAATGAAAAGCCAACAGCAAACAGCCCATCCAGATCATCGCTAGTGGGCGTCACGTCGCATAGGGCGGGGCGTCGCACGGGTCCTGCTCAGCAACCGCGGCACCTTCCGCCGTGGGAGGGCCACACATCTCTTCCTTGGCGGCCAAGTAATTGCTCCGTGTGACGCAGGGTCTTCCCTGATGGGAAAATTCCTTTGCGTAATCGCTTCCTTTAAAAAATTTGAAAGTGCCTACTTGCATCCCCACGACCGGTCCTATCTTGCTATGTGTCGTCCCTTAACATCCTGGTTGGGCAGCGGTTAACCAGGGCCATCTGTCATCAAGGGTTGAGAGCATTTGCTGGGTAAAGCAATATTGTGGTCATTATTGGAAACCCGAGCTTTTTGAAAAAGAAATCAAGAACAGCAGGCTGATTGTGTACTGTGCACAGCTGTGAGCGCTTCCAATCACCCTACCAACGCTGAAACAGCCAAGCCCTCGCGTTGACACAGACGCCCTTGGACATGGGCACAGAATGAGGGCCACAATTTTGCGTTTCTGACGATTTATTCAGGTTTCTGCTCCATCGCTGCATTATTCTCAACTCTGTTTTTATATTTGATCGGCACCAAAATATCGTAATGTCGCTGTCCTAATCACAAACTCTAAGGCAAATGAACTCGTGCAGAAAGAAGGAACGACTCGTTCAGCTAACATTGTATGTTCGCTAGTATTTATGAGGAACTCACATGTGATCTAGTCGTGAACGAACTTTGATGTGAACGCTCCGTCCAAAACCACGCAAACGACTGGAATGGAAGAGGACTTGTGCTGCGCCAGATAAGTTTCGAGCCGTTTTCGCAGGATTATTTCTGCACCGTACCTGGAAAAAGCAAACAAGTAAGTCGCCTAGAAGTATTATCCTTCTATTTTATAAAGCGCTAACTTTGTGTGTCGGTTTGTGTATCTGTATGTGTGTGTGTGTATGTGTGTATGTGTGTCCGTCCGCAAAATGAAGTGAGTGAGAAGGAAGCTCATGGGATAAACAAACCGCTAACAAATCGGGTAGCTTACAGGATTTGAGATATCAATGTTTTGTAGCAGGATAGTTGTGATAACACTCTTAGGGCTATATAAACACCTGCTTAGCACACTTCCGTTCATTCCACATGGTGCTGCAGTGGCAGCTGGAGGGCAGTGGAGAGAGGAAGGGAGGATGAGGAAGGGAAGCGAAAAATCTACCGTCATATCATGATTGTGTCCCTTCTACTGTTTGAAACACCATTGTGTTGCATACGCGTCACTTCCAGGAGGTGTTGGTGTCACAGGAGGAAGGGACCATAGCGGAGGATAGAAAGCTTGCGCAGGAAAGGAAGGTCCCGGCGGTTGACGGGGGACTAATCTGGTTAACAATATGGAAATGGGTATGCCGTTATACAGTAGCAAGATGCAAGTTATGGA